TGGTAAAGTACAACATGTCTATCACGGCAAAGATCGACAGAATCAAACCTTTTACCACCGATCAATGCCATGCTGCCCCTGTTTGCTGAGGAGGCCAGCTCCCCATCAATGCTGCATCACTGCTTTGATGTTATTCAGACAGCTGTACAACTTGTCAACCCTGGTCAGATTCCAGTAATTGATCAGCCTCTGTTCGCAAAACTGAAACAACTACAATGGTCCATGGACATCCAGTATGAAGAGGACAAGTTTGTAATTCTTCTTGCTGGACTCCACATGGAGATGTGTTGCTACAAAGTCCTGGGTCATTGGCTGAAAAGGAGTGGATGGGTTGACGCTCTTCAAGAGGCATAACTTGCCACTCGTGGAATTGCAGAATCTTTCCTCAATGCATCCCATGTCACTCAGACCCGGCATGCCCATCAAGTAACTGCATGCACACTGTATATTCTCCTGAAGAATGCATTTGATGTGTATGCCACCAACATAGAATGCCTTGCAGCATGTGGTGCACACGTGGAAGACTGACAGTTCACAATTCCTGTACTGGTACACAAAACTTGAGTTGAAACCGCTTGCCTTGGCATTTGAGTGTTCATTGCATACTGGTGACTTTGATTTGTACAAAGATACACTGACTAAATTGACACCTTGGTTCTTCAGTCTCAACCACACCCATTACACCCGCTGGATATCAGTTCATGTGAGAGATATGTGTAGCCTGGACGACACCCATCCTGATGTTGCCCGAGAATTTTGGCACGGCAAGTTCGTCATGGCCAAGTCCTTGAGAAAATTCTCTCTCATCGCAATTGATCATGGCCATGAGCAAAATAATGGTGTGATGACGGGTGAAGGGGGAGTCATTGGACTGACACAGGATGCCGATGCTCTTTTACGATGGGCAGTAGCAGGGCAAGAACTTGTCATATCTGAATTGGAGTCATCCATGGTAGAGAAACGAGAGAGTCCCAGCCAGAGAAACCACCATGACCAAACTGATGCTACCCAGAAGAAATGTGCTACACAGGTCGATACACTGGTCAGAATAATTGAGGGTATGGGGAGTCCGTTTGACGAAGGAAGCCAACATCTTCTGAGACTGCATTCAAAGGACATCATGGACAAGCAGTCAATTTAGTGCCTCACTACAATACAATCAAAGGGTCAAGAACAGTATGGAACATTTGTAGACGAGCGTCTCCGGGCTAACATGAGCATCATGGATGGTGCTGTCCTCGTGAACATCCTTAGACCTGGAGGATGCAAGACATTTGGCGACTACGCTGCAAATGTGTTTGTTCCACACATCACAAGAAAACAGAACAAGGCTCAACGAGTAGATATTGTGTGGGATCAG